CAGTATACCAGTTTTATTTTGAAGCTATGTTTTAAAATACATTTGCAGCCGGGCTCGGTGGCTCAGCCTGTAATCCCGGGCTTTGGGAGGCTGAGGTGAGTGGATTGCCTGAGCCTGCGGGTTCGAGACCCACCTGGGCAACTTGGCGAGATCTCATCTCTACAATAAATCAAAATCTAGCCGGGCGTAGTAGCATGTGCCTGTAGTTACAGCTACTTGGAAGGCTGAGGCAGAAGGATCACCAGAGCCCTGCAGGTCGAGGCTGCAGTGGCCGGGAGCGGCCACTGCACTCCAGTCTGGGCGACAGAGTAAGACTCCAACTCAAAAATAAAATAAAATAAAATAAAATAAAATAAAATAAAATAAAATAAATTTGCATTTGACTGTTATATACTTCTTATGACTTGATCCTTCTATCATTAAAAATTTTCCACTCTTTTTTTCTCTTAAAAATTTGATTGCAGCCGGGCTCGGTGGCTCAGCCTGTAATCCCGCGCCTTTGAGAGGCTGAGGTGAGTGGATTGCCTGAGCCCGCGGGTTCGAGACCCACCTGGGCAGCAAGACCTCATCTCTACAATAAATCAAAAAATCAGCCGGGCGTGGTAGCACATGCCTGTAATTCCGGCTACTCGGAAGGCTGAGGCGGAAGGATCACCGGAGCCCAGCAGGTCAAGGCTGCGGTGGCCAGGAGCGGCCACTGCACTCCAGTCTAGACGACAGAGTGAGACTCCAACTTAAAACAAAATCAAAAAAACTTTGATTGCTTGTTATTAATATACCCAAATCAACTTACTAATTATTAGTATTTGCATGACATGTCTTTCCCCATATTTGTGTTTTTACATTATGCACCTAAAAAAGCATATAGTTGGCATCTTGCTTTCTTATACAGTTTGACAATTTCCACTTTTAATGTAGTGTTAAGTCTATTTACACTGAATGTAATTCTTGACACAGCACATTTAAGTCCACCACATTCCTATTAATATCCTATTTAACTATATATTCTGTAAGCCAAAAATGAAATTCTAAGCGTCCCCCCACCAACTGAAAGAATCCCTTCTGAGCCAAGGGAAACCTGAAAAACTAAAATCCAGACTATGATAAGAAGGAGGTCAGATGTGCCTCATTATACCCCTTCCCTTTTGGAGTTTGGGCATTAAAATAGATATCTTAAGACCATAACACAGATGCTGTGGAAATAAGATACTATATTTTACTTATGTCCTTGCCTGTACACTTCTGTCCCCGCTATACCTTGTGATGGTATAGTATCACATGACAAATAGCAGGCCCTACAGGAAATAAAAATATTTTACCTAAAGTATATTTATTTGACATATTTTGAAACAGCCCTGCAAAGCTGTCTTTTGTGTGGACATATTTGCATCTGTACAGAATCCCTATTAACATAGCCAAATCTTTCCCCTTCCAGACCTTCCTGGACCCAGGAGGGATTAACTGAGAATATGACACATTTAAAGTTTGAATAAGAGACATTTGCCATCTACTCTCTAAGGGCTGCCACCTATGTGAGGCTTTAATCTATATAATAAGAACCTTAGCCTCCACAACCCCCTTAACTTAACTCAGATATTTCTTTCTACTTATTTCAGGCCTTTAAACAATAGCTTAACTCTTTCAATCCACTGTCAACTAAAGAAGCCCTGAACCTACCTGTGACTTATAAGCCCCTACCACCCCAACCCCCACTTCAATATGTCCTGCCTCTCCCAGCCAAACCAATGCATGCCTCACATGCACTGATTATGTTCTTGCCTGCACACTTCTGTCTCCCTAAAATGTATGCACCCAAGCTGTAAACCTTGGGCACGTGTTCTTGAGACCTCTTGAGAATGTGCCTCAGGCCTTAATCACTCATATTTGGCTCAGAATAAATCTCTTTAAATATGTTACACAAAAAATAAAAATAAAAAATATATGTTACAGAGTTTGGTTTTTCGTCAATAGTTCCTTGTTCTTTTCTCCTTTTTGGATTAATATTCCAAAAAATATTAAATTTTAATCTTCTATTTTCTCTCTTCCAGCTTATCGTTTATACCTTAAGTGTTGTTCTAGAGTTGACAATATGTATCTTTAGTTTATCACATCCTAACTTCGAATATTATAACAATTTGCATATTAGAATTTCTCTTTCCTCACCCATTCTTTGTGCTTTTTTGTTATGTATTTTAATTTGTATATATGTTATACACCAAAAAACTAAATATTATAGTCAATAGTCTTTTTTTAATTTTTTTTGAGTAGGAGTCTTGCTCTGTCCCCCAAGCTGGAGTGAAGTGGCCTGTGCAGCCTCGACCTGCTGGGCTCAAGTGATCCTTCCACCTCAGCCTTCCAAGTAGCTGGAACTAGAGGCAAGCCCAGCTAATTTTTTTTTAATTTGTTTGTTGTAGAGATGAGACCAGGCTGGTGATGAACCCCTGGACTCAGGTGATCCTCTTGTCTCTACCTCCCAAAGTGCTGGGATTATGGGCATGAGCAACCATACCCGGTGTCAACACTCTTTGAAAGACATTAAGAAATAAGGAAAACAAATCTTTCATATTTATTCACTTATTTACTATTTCTTGGGCTCATCACTCCTTTATATAGTTTTATGTTTCCATTTAGCATTTCAGACTGATGAGCTTATGATAGGCTGGTGAAAAATGAAGATGTGCTCAATCTGTCTCTTAACTCAGTGAGTGCTTATTATGGTACCTGACACTTAGGAGGTGTTGGCTTAAAGAATAAATGAAAGTATTTCCAATATCATCTGGTAAGTGCTTTATAAGAAATACAATTAATATTCAGGGGAACACACAGAAAGACCAACCTACTCTGCCTAGCCACACTCAGGAAAATGTTACCAAAATGGTAATATAAATCATCAAGGAAAAGCAGATCTTTTCCAAAAGGTTAAATGAAAGAATGATAATTTAAGAAAAAGAACAGTTTTAGCAAAAGATGTGTAAAAAGTTCATTGAAGTAAACTGCCTTGACATAGCCTAGTGATGGTGAGATACAAAATGGATTATACACGAAGTATGGCAGCAAAAGGAGCTGAAGAAGGTCTAGGTCAGATCTTTAAGCACCTCAAGTATCACTGGAGGGACTTTGGACTATATCTCATAAGCACCAGGAAAGTTTTTACCAGGGCGGTGGCATGGGAACACGGATATTTAAAGGATCATTCTAGAGCAAACTAGAGGCAGAGAGACCAATAGGGCCGCTCTTCCTACGGCAACAAAGGCATGCAGTGGAATGCAGAAGGCAGAAGACATTTCAGAGGTTCAATCCACAGAACTTGGCGATCAATTAGATTTAAGAATAATGGAAAAGAAGAATTAGAAGAAATCAAACCTGAACTCCAAAAGCAGGGGAAAGAAACGTGTAGAGCAAAAGATAAGAGAGTGAGAGCCACAGGCTATGGGAGTCAGGAACCACATAGCACTTCAGCCAACAACCAGTGCTTCCAAATCTATGTTTGCAGCAGACCACCCAGCAGCATTTTTCTCATCTTAAATTGTCATTTAGGACTGCAGGAGCCATGACGTGAATGCCAGCTATCAATAGGGAGAAGAAAAAAAAAACCTCTGTGACAACCTGTGCCGCTTACAAAAATTATTTATATGGGCAATGGCAGCAGGAGACGAGGGGATGAGAAAGAAACACACACCAGGTTCATGATGGAGCAAATCTAATGCACAGAAAGGGCCCGAAATACTCTAATATTGTCTGGCAGCAGTCCTGGCCAAACCTTCCCCAGGCACAAGTACTTTAGTGCTTTATACAAATTCAAAACAGAGGCGAGCCTTGGCAGGAAAGGCTCTTACTCCAAGGATTGAAAAAGTGATAGATGATGAAATGTGATGCTAAAAGGCCCAGCTAAGCCATTAATTCTTGCTGAAGGCAATGGCTGGAAAGAAAAACAGTCTTTCCTATAATCTAAAACCACACTTATTATTTGGACCTGTATCACTTTAAAGGGATTTTTACGTCAACTTTAACATGGACAACAACATGCCTTCATTTTACACCATGGCATATGGGGACCACTGGTAGAGGGGGTACTGCATGAGATGCCCCTGCCACTCCCCTGTTCAGGGATAGATGGATAATTGTTTAAGAGTAAATAATATGAATCCAGTCCACTCTACCCCAATATGCAAGGCCTGGCTGGACAGGAACACAGGGAAGATCTCAGTGGCAAACAACATCTACATCCCAAAGACTGCTTATGCAAGGACAGAAACCTGAGCTGCAGGGGCTGCCCAGTGAGCTGAAGCTCCATCCACAGCTCTCAGTCTCCCACTTCACCAAAGGTCAAGGTCTTGGATGAGAAACTGTCATTCTCCCAGCTCAGAGAATATCCCTAAAGTCTCTTGCCACTTCTGAGTTTCAAGCAGACAAATTGCCCAGTGTCTTTCTCCCCAGAAAATTAGGCCTGGAAAAGTAAATAAGAAAGAAAGCATTTGTGTGAGAAGAGCTGCCTGGGCAGAAATGCCCTGATGTTCTAGGTACCCAGGAGCTCTGTGAGATGCTAGACTGCCTGGCACTGAAAACAAAGCACTTACCTTACAAGGATGCCAGGAGGGACACAGAAAGAGAGGTTGGGCTCCTCTAGGAGCACAAGACTGTGGCTATCTGCTGAGCCCCCTGCTAACAGGAGAGGTGAACCAGACTGGAGCCGGGCCCAGGCTGAGCAGGAAATGTATCTGCTCAATGAGAATGACACATGAGACACCGCAGTCATTTGCGTGATTACTACGGCACGTTATCATGTGTGAAGCCCATTCACTTACAGTCACCTGAAAAGACAGTTCTCATATAACTTCTGTTTTTCCAATGAAAAACCTAAAGCCTAGAGAAACTAAGCAACTTGACACAATGGCATAGATCTGACAAGAGGCGGACAGAAACTAACACTGAGGTCAGTATTTCAAACCCAGCCCTATCAACTCTAGAACAAGTCTACTGTGCAGCAGTGAGACATTTACCTGGTTGCTGGAAGAGTACTGACTCGGGTGAAAAACACAGATGGTTCCACCTCGACATGCAGCCCCAGGGAGAGGTTCCTGTAATATCCTTCAATGTGGCCCGGGCCTCCGGAGTATTTGAAATTCAGGATCGCTTCCAGGGTCTAAAAAGATATATATAGACATATATTTTTAAAAGATCCGTTAGTACTCCTTAAATTGATCAATGTTCCTTAGCAAAACGCAGATGGCCTCACTTAGGAAAAGTCTGAAGATCATCCCAACCAGTCATTAGCATTAGGCAACTCTCACCCTAAGCTGAAAACTGGCCCCCGGTACCATCTTTCCTATAATGTCCCAAATGTCTACATAATTCTCATCCTGGATAGGCAAATGAAAGGGGTTCCAAAATTTACTCTGTGGTTGGATACAGCATTTTTTAGAGAGGAAAAACACATTTCAATGAGCACCATGAAATGCAGTACATGAAGTAAGGCACGGGGAAGGAAGAGTGCCACCACTGAGGAGGTAGAATGTGGCTCCCAGGTTACCAGTGAGTGAAAGCCGAAAAAGCTCCATCCTCGTGACTCTTCCTTGAACCTATATGAGAGATGAGATCACAGGGCAACCTGGCCCATTCCAGGAGGGACAGGGTGCCACACCATCTCCCCAACAGCAGAGCACAGGATATAGAGGTGCCAGCCACCATTCAGGAGGGCAGGAAGGAATCAACTCAATGTTTATGAATTCCTAAAGGCTGAGGAGGGGCTCACTTGATAATGAAGACCCCAGTGCCCCAGCCCAGACCCCCAGAGGGCAGTTCCCACCCACTCCCAGGCTCCTCTCCATGGATCTTCCCTGGGTGCTCACAAAAAGAACTGGTGTGAGGGCAGGAAAGCAGAGATAGCCTCCCTCGGTGGTATGGGTATGGAGGAGAGGGTAGACCACCACTACAAGAAAGGCAAGACACTGAAACTCCAGCCCAGTGCGATCCCCACCCAGGCCCTCCTTTCCTATGAAGCAAAATCTTAAGTAGCTGGAGGAAGAGCAGCATTCCCCAGGCACAAATACAAGGGTGAAGCCTCACTCCAGGAGGCAGCCCTGAGCCAGGATTCCACACCACTGGACCAGAAGTATCCTGCCACTAGGGTAGGGGTAGGAAATCGCTCACACCCAGCACCCACCATGCTACTGGGGCAGAATGGGATGCTGTGGGCAGCAGGGGCAGGAGTGCTGAGAAAGTTGCACAGGCCAGACCCAGCCACACAGCATTTGAGGCTAAGGAGGGATGAACACAACAGGGAACCACACTGCTAAGAAAGAAACAGGGATGTGAGAAGACCCCACCCGTGGTGCTGGCATGTAGGAGGGCTGAGGATGGAGGAGAACATTACCGAATCTCAGTAGCCCCTACTTTCTTCGCGTTACTTGTCCCTAGGACAGGGTAACACTGGGGGAATCTGGAGCCTTAGGGCACCCAAAGTAACCACAGCAACAAGAAACCCAAACCCAGCTCAAGTGCTGACTAAATGACCCAATCTTCCACAGTAATGTCCTAAATAGGCACAGCAAACTATGGCCCATGGGCTAAATCTGGCCCACAGCCTGTTTTTGTATGATCTGAGAGCTAAGAATAGGTTTTCCATAAAGGTTGTAAAACAAAACAAAACAGAGAAGAATATGCAACAGAGACCAGAGATGGCTGGCAAAGCCTAAAATATTTACTATTGGCCCTTTACATTAAAAATTTATGGATAAAACTCTTAGAAGAAAACACAGGAGGCAATCTTCATGACTCTGGATTAGACAATGGTTTCACAGATATGGTCCCAAAAGCATAAGCAATAGGCAAAAAAATAAATAAAAGAACAGTGTCATGAAAATCCAAGGAGGGCTGAGCTTAGATGAAAGGAAGAAAGGCTAGTGCTGTCCACTGCTGCAGGGAAGTCATGTCACACAGGGCTGAGGAAGTGTCCACCATATTTGGCAATTAGTTGCTCAACAATGACCAAAGTGGAAGCATTTGCCAGAAAAGTGGCAGTGAGGATAGAAGCTGCAGCATATAGTGAGCACACTGAGCAACAGGTCTGGCTGACAGTACTCAATTGGAGCCCAAGGCCATGTGCTAAGGTGCAGGCATCAGCATACTCTCTTGCTTGGTCAGAGTCACATGAAGCTATGTGTCCAAAAGGCTCTCTTCTTCCCTAAGCTTCTAGAGTCACATTTCAAGAAGCCTTCCTGGCAAGTTGCATTCAGCCTTCAGCTATTGGTTTTGTGGGCCTACTTCTTTCCAATGGAGAGGCAGCCACAGCTACAGAATATAAAAAATATATATATATCCTGTGTGTGCATGGTGCCATAGAGAGGGCATGCCAACAAGGAGAGTGAATTTCCTATGGGAAGGCCAGCTGATAAGTCCCTGGCAGCCTGGTATGATGGAAGAAGAACAGATGTGGATACCAGTTCAACCTGGTTTCCCATTCTGGCTCTGAAGTGCCATCTTAGGCACATCATCTCATCATTCTCAGTCTCAGTTTCTCAACCATTAAATAGTGAGTACTAGACTCTGTCTTTTTTTTTTTTTCTCTCTCTGTCCAAATTCCTAGCTAAGGGTTCTAGGGAGCCATGCTCTACAAAGATTCATCAGATGGGATTATTTTATTAACCCTATATAAAATATATGTTTTATAGCCTGACTCTGGCAAAACATCACACAACAGATAAAAAAAGGAAAGCAAACTACTTTATGACCCTGCAAAGTCATCTCTCAGGAACTCTGGGAGTGTGGACACCTTTTAAAACACCACCTATTCTCTCTGAAGTATGCCACCTATATCAATATCACAATTTCCTTATTTCAAAATTCCTTAGATAAAAACCTAACTCTAGCTACTAATTCCCAGTCAGAAAATCTTTGAATCCACCTATAACCTGCAAGCCCCAGTTTGGAGATGTCCTGCATTCACCATAAATTTCTCATGCATTAATGTATGATTTTTTTGAGTTGGAGTCTCACTCTGTCGCCCAGACTGGAGTGTAGTGGCCGCTCCCGGCTACCGCAGCCTCGGCCTGCTAGGGTCCAGCGATCCTTCTACCTCAGCCTTCCGAGTAGCCGGAATTACAGGCATGCGCCACCACGCTCAGCTGACTTTTTGATTTATTGTAGAGATGAGGTCTTGCTGCCCAGGCAGGTCTCGAACCCATGGGCTCAGGCAATTCACTCACCTCAGCCTCCCAAAGGCGCAGGATTACAGGCTGAGCCACCGAGCCCGGCTTAATGTATGATTTTTTGTAACTCGTGCCTTCCTAAAATTTATATAAACAAGCTACAATTCAACCACCCTGAACACACGTTCTCAGGGCCTCTTGGGACAGATGTCACAGGTCTAAGGTCATTCGCATTTGGCTCCAAATAAGCAACCTTAAATATAGGGGACGATAATATCTATCTCACTAGACTTAAGTGAAGATTCAATGAGAAAATGCAGTCGCAGAAAAAGTAGTTACTCATTAAGTTAATTCCTTTCTCCCTCTGCAAACTTACCCATCTGATACCCCAAGATAACATGGCTTAGAATGGAGGAAATGAGGTTTAGAACCATTTATTTTATTTTTTAAATATATTTTTGTATTGTGGTAAATACACATAACATATAGGTTGCCATTTTAATTATTTTTAAATGTGCAGTTCTGTGGCATTAAGCGCATTCACACTGTTGATAAGTCATCACCACCGTCCATTCCAGAACTTTCTCACCTTCCGAAATTGAACCTCTGAATCCACTAAAAACTCATTTTCCATTCCTTCGTCATCCTACCCCCCTGGCAACCCCCATTCTACTTTGTGAGTCTTTGAATTTGACTACTCTTGGCACCTCACATAAGTAGAATCCCACAGTACTTGCCCTTTTGTGATGGGCTTATTTCACTTAGCATAATGTCCTCAACATGCATGTGTCCGAATTCCCTTCCTTCTTAAAGTTGAGTAATATTCTATTTATGTATATGTTACCCTTTATTTATCCATTCATTGGCCAATGGACATTTTGGTTGCTTCTGCCTTTTGGCTCTTGTGAATAGTGCTGCTATGAACATGGGTTGTACAATGGGAACCCTGGTTTCAGTTCTTTTGGGTATATACCAAAAGTGGAATTTCTGGATCATACGATTATTCTGTATCTCTTTGGGGACTCACCATACCATTTTTCACAGTGGCGGCACCATTTTATATTACCACCAGAAGAGCACAAGTGTCCCTACTTTCCCATTCTTGCGAAATATTTGTCATTTTCTGTTTGTGTGATAATAGCCACGCTAGTGGGTGTGAAGTGGTACCTCACTGTGGTTTTGATATGCATTTCCCTAGTAACTAGTGATGTTGAGCATCTTTTCAAGTGCTTATTGGTCACGTGTGTCTCTTCTTTGAATAAATGTATATTTAAGTCCTTCGTCCCATTTCAAAAGCTCATTGTTCCAACTCATCACCCACCACTCAAGGTGTCTTCCATGCCTACATTTTTTACAGGTTTCCGTCAACATTTATACTACCAGAAATATCTTCACTGACTCACTTCACCTATGTAATTATTACTCCTCCTTCAGAGCTGAGATAAAGCTACATCTTCTACTCACCACCTGCTGAAATAAAAACAAATACAGATTTAAAATATATATATATTTTGAAGGCCGGGCTTGGTGGCTCAGTCTGTAGTCCCAGCACTTTGGGAGGCCCAGGCAAGTGGATTGTCCGAGCCCACAGGTTCAAGACCAGTTAGGCAACTTGGCAAGACCTCGTCTCTACAATAAATAAAAAAATTGGCCAGGCATAGTAGTATGCACCTGTAGTTCCAGCTACTTGGAAGGCTGAGGTGGAAGGATCATTGGAGCCCAGCAGGTCGATACTGGGGTGGCTGTGAGTGTGCCGCTGCACTTGAGCCTGAGTGACAGAGTGAGACTCCAACTCAAAAATAAAAAATAAAAATAAAGGTTATATATATATATAACCTTCAGAGCTGAGATAAAGCTACATCTTCTACTGAGATAAAGCTACATTTTCGACTTGGTGAGGTTATATATATATATAACCTCACCAAGTCGAAAATCCTTTTTCCACTCCCCTTTGCCCAAAGCACTGCCCTAGCATCTCCAAAGGGTTACTAGTTTC